TTACTATTAATAACTGATAATCTTTGAAATCTTTGAAATTCTCTCGATTTTGCTTAGACTAGTAAGTATAAGCCTACTTTAGTTTAGTTTAGGTTTAATTTTGTTCTTCTTCTTACACTATTATTTTTAATGAATTTCCTGTAAGTGGGTTTTACCTGTTGGGATTTTTTTTTTTTTTTTATTTGTCAAACAAATTGTGTTTATTACATTACAATGTAGTCAGTAAGACTAATTAGCAATTTTGTTTTAACCTAATTTACTACACTTTATTTTTTTCCAAGATAGATTTTGGCATTGTCAACTTTGAAACATAAACAATGCCGCTAATGCCACTTATTGGTCGCTATTGTAAAACTGATGTCAACCTGCAGAAACACCTGATTTTGCGACCAATCAGGGTCATGCGTTATTGTTTATGTTTCAAAGTTTTCAATGTCAAAATCTATCTTGGAAAAAAATAAAGTGTATAAAGTTTACAATTCTTGAGGTTCACTCAACAGTTTTCCCCACTTTGCTTAAACTGTAAATCACAATTTTGATGTGTTTATAGCACTATTTTGTTGTGTTTTTCAATTTCAGTTGGGAATAAAAGCTTATTTATTATTTATTTATTTATTTATAAAAACCTCCAGTTTTCTGAATATTTCAAAATTCCTCGCAAAATTTTTGGTAAAAACATTGTTTCTGACCTGGCTGCTATGCACTTAGAGTACCTAATATCAGATAACCTTGGCCTTGAAATAGCTAGGAATACCTATTTTTCTTTAATTCAATTACATTTATCCTATAATGGAATATGCTACTGGGAATGTTGTGCAAACTCCCCTTTTAAATATGTATTTGTGATGCAGAAGAGAGCACTTACAAATGTATGTAGAGTCAACAGGGGATCTTCATGCAGACCTCTATTTCTGCAGTATAAAATTTCAACCTTGCAAGTGGTCTTTGAAAAATTTAATGAGGAGCTGGATAGACAAGGGCAGTATGGAGCTCGTCAACAAGTGCTACATTTGCCTATTCCACATTTGAGTTTAGTAAAGAATTCCTTTGTCTACAACGCAAAAAAAAAAATAATGCTTTGCCTACCGAACTTAGGAAACTTACAGGTTACAGAAGTTTTTGGTGGATGATCAAGGAATTTTTGGTCTGTAGGGCATTTTATACTTTGGACGATTTTTTTACAAATGAAATAGCACTAAAATACAAGGCAGACAAAACTTTTTTTAATTTGTTTTGCTGTAGGGGAGAGGTGGGATACTTGATCCCATAGGAGACTTGATCCCCATTCGAAATTCGCGCCGTTTTCAGCCGTTAGTGCTTCATGTCATCAGTGGCGCATGTTTTTAATGCAACTGCGCTCTACTAGTTCAGTCAGCGTCCTACAGCCATCTTGTGAACAGTTATCGTCGCAATTTTGTTTTTATACGTCCCAGACTTCTTTTTCGGTGAGTATTTATTTATTTTTTCAGCCACAAATATATGAACAATAGGTTGTTTGTATTTTTTCTTGTGACTACGGCTATATTTGGCACAATAATTTAACGAATTTGAAGTCTCTTTGTGAGTAGTTTTTCTGATAATAATTTTTTGATATTTTAATTGTGTGTTGGGAGATTTGATCCCACGCTGAGGTAGGATACTTGATCCCTGGATCAAGTCTCCCTTGATCCCTGCATCAAGTCTCCCCCTGCCAGTTTTGGTCAAATATTCATTATTTTTGTTTGTTAAAGATGCCGAGAAAATATAAAACAAAGGAAGGGGCAAAGTCAAGGGTTCCCCCCAACCCGGAACAATTGAAAGCCGCTGTAAATGCTGTCAAAGCAGGTGGTAGTTTTCGAGGAACTGCAAAATCTTTCAATGTGCCATTGATGACCCTCAAAAGACTTATAAGAAGAGGAACAGACAAGCCACCAGGCTACAAAAAGGCTCAAATCTTTACTGCTGAAGAGGAAGCTGAACTTGCCACATATCTTTTAACTGCTTCTCAGCTGTATTATGGACTAACTATCACCAGTCTTCGAAAGTTAGCGTTCCAAATGGCAAAAAAAAATAACAAGAAGTTTCCAGCTTGTTGGGAAAAAAATCAGTCAGCGGGAAAAGAATGGGCCTGTGGATTTCTGGAAAGAAATGGAATTCTATCCTTGAGAACGCCAGAGCCTACCAGCCTAAGTAGAAGTACTGCATTCAACCGGCACACTGTTGGCGAGTTTTTCAATAATTTAATAAAAGTTTGCCAGAAATACCAGTTCTTACCATCAAGAATATGGAATGTAGACGAAACCGGAGTGACCACCGTTCATAAACCTGGAAAAATTATTGCTGGAAAAGGGACCAAACAAGTCGGAAAAGTTACCTCTGCTGAGAGAGGTCAATTGGTAACCGTGTGTTCTGCTATCAGTGCTTCTGGTAACCACATTCCACCATTTATGATTTTTCCACGCGTTAATTGGCAGGAGCGAATGATCGATGGCGCCCCTCCTGGTACTAAAGGATCCACCCACACAAGCGGCTGGATGACAGCGCCGAACTTCCTGAAGTTTCTGCATCATTTTTTACAACATACAAACAGCTCCCCAAATAACCAAACGTTGATGATTATGGACAACCATGACAGTCACATATCTGTTGAAAGTTTAACGTATGCAAAACAGAATGGTATTGTCTTGCTAACCATACCTCCCCATACGTCCCATAAACTTCAGCCTTTGGATAGAACTGTGTTTGGCCCTTTGAAAACGTATTATAATGTGGCAGCTGCAGAATGGATGACAATTCACCCTGGCAGACCCTTGACAATTTATGATCTTGCAGGGTTGCTCGGGAATGCCTATCCTAAGGCTATGACACCTACAAATATCATGAGCGGGTTCCAAGTAACAGGTATATGGCCGTTGAATTCCATGATATTTACAGATGTAGAGTTTCTCACAAGTTTTGTAACAGATCGCCCAGATCCAGAGACAACCGAACAATTAGAAACGACAGTAAAAGAAAACTCTAAGCCGCTTCCGTCAACATCATCTACAATGCCAGTTGCTCCTACAGTGCCAGTTGCTCCTCTTCATTTCTCGCCTGCTGAAATCTTTCCATTCCCGAAAGCACCGCCGAGAAGTAGCAACTCATCAGTGCGTGGTCGAAAGCGTGCGAAAAGTCGAATACTCACAGATACACCGGAGAAAACCCAAATTGAAGAAGAGTTTATGAAAAGAGAAGAAAAAAAAGCAAAGAAAAGTTTCAACCAGAAGCCGAAATGCAGAGTAGAAGCTGTGAAACGAGTGTTGATGGTTTCTAGTGATGAGGATGAGGACTCATTTAGCCTGCACGATAGTAGCAGCAATGACTCAAACTTCTTTGGATCTCCACCAGAGTCTGAATCCGAAGAAGTTATTGACAATTCAACCCTAGCAGTTAATGACTTTGTCATTGTGCAGCTCAAATCAAAGAAGGCTATCAAGAATTTCGTGGGAATAATTGAAGGGATTAATGATGAAATTGAGATCAATTTCTTGAAGAAAAAAGAAGGAGCTTTCCAGTTCTTCTATCCTGAAATTCCCGACAGAAGTTGTGTTTCCCGGGAGGATTGTATTCTGAAGTTGCCTCAGCCGTTAATTACCACTGGAACAGTTCGAACTGCAGGAGTCCTGAACTTCCCACTACTTTATTCCAAATACTTTTAGTTTTGATTCAACCTACAATGTTGATAATAATGTTGAATACATATTTTTTCTATTCACAAGCTATTTTATTCTGGAAAACCTTCTCCGATAATCTTCCAATAATCTGAAATAGGCATGATCAAGTCTCCCTATAGGAAGGGATCAAGTCACCCAACTGGTTTGGAGACTTGATCCCAAGGCAAGCTTCCCAAAAAAGGGCCAGTAACTCTTAATTTTTCAAAAATTGACTCTGAACTGTTTAAAATTATATGCAGCTAGGTTTCCTCTGCGTATTTGGCCATTTAAAACATCAAAATCTGGAGAATTGTAGAAAAAATATTTAAAAGTATAAAAGGGGGATCAAGTATCCCTCCTCTCCCCTACTTGTTGTTGCTCAATTTGGCTTTAAGCTGGATGTAATCAGGATTGTTTTATTTTTCAACTAGTGATATATGTATATGGCTTTCTCAACAAGTCTGCAATGGTTCAAATCGTATGTGAACAACAGAAAACAGCTTGTGAGAGTTGATATGATGATGTCTTCATGCAAGCCAATAGAATATGGAGTACCACAGGGTTCCGTGTTGGGTCCAATATCATTTTTGCTAGTCTAGAAATTAGCGGTAAAATCTATCTATTTGCTGATGATACTAGTTTCACTTGGAGCAATCTAGATATAGTTTGTTGCTCTTCATAAAACCATGTCCAATGACTTGTTTGCCTTAGAGCATAAGTACTGTGCATTTACCTAAACAAATCAAGCTACTTTTGAATTTGATAGAATATTGGAGAGTAATTGAAAAGACGTCGAATGAGCCTTGATGTAACCCTTCTCTATTGTAGTTGACACTTTACATATATAACAAAATCTTGCACTTATTAGAATGTAGAGTTAAGGAACATATTCCTTGGTTTAATTATACATAAATCTGTTCAAATATTAAATAATGGACCAAAAGCTCAATCTCTGCACTCTGAAAAGGTGGCGACTTTTTTAAATTTGAAGTTCAAGTTACCTTAAATAAGATACTTAGTTTTTCTCAATGTTTTACTGCAAAAAAAACACTACCCTGGTATCTCTTATTTATTTTAAAGAAAAAATAAATACATATATAGTAAAAGGGCATTGAACTTTATGGTTCCTGTTTTCGAATTGGATCAAAGCAATTTATGCCCTAGTGAAAGGTCACGAAATAATGCGTCTTCCCAAGTACAAATCGAGATATTTATAAATACCTTTAGAGAACAGCAGGCCCACCCACACGGAAAATTCACTTAAATAAATACACCCGATGCAAGTGCAATTTGCCAAAAACGTAATGTAATGAATGAAAACAAACTTACATTTCGATATGCTACTGCTAATGTAATCCGCTGCAAGGACCGTGAATGTATTGTAGAAATTCTTATGGGTTTCTTTGTGTCTCCAAATCTCCGATTCACTGTAAATTAAACGGATTGCATTAGAAAAAAAAACAACTGGTCAATAATCGAACGAGATGAAAAAAACTGTCAACTTTGTACAAAGAATTTTCCCACAAAGAAAACCCCGAACGAAATTGTACCTTTTCACGATGGTAGAGCACAGTTCTATGAGTTCTGTCAAGTTCGAACTTTCGTAATTCGGCGATAAAAACGGCTTCAAAACGAGAGACCAATCGACTCCGCCACTACTCGCTGCCATAACTTCGACCATTTGTAACTTTTTGCCAGCCAGGGGGAAATTTTTATTTTAAATGGGAAAAATGACAAGCCATTTTCAATTTGACATTGTTGACAGTTCACGGGTCTAGTGATTTTTCGCGAAAATTCGACGCTAGGGTCAAATCATAGACAATAAATAAATAATTACAGAGTCTGTTAGGTATATGATACAATTTTTAGGATAGTTTAAAACTGCACCGATAGATGACACCACCAATAGTTGTATTCCTTTCAAGAGTTTGAAACACTCGAGCTACTCGCTCCGGTGTTTAGTACAGTAGCCCCCGATTTGCAGGGAACAGATGCGTGGTAAAAAAAAATACGACTAAAGCCTAGTCTCCATGGACGCAAAATCGCGAATTTTTTTTTGCGGATATTTTCCGATTGGTTGGAATTTGACATTTAACATTTGATTTTTTTATGGCGGGAAAAATTCGCGAATTTTTTAACTTCTTGCGGCGTCGCAAAAAAGTTAACTATTTTTTAACTTTCCGCGAAATTTCGCCAAAAAAAAATGAGGTTATGTGGTGTTACTTTCAGTTTAGTTTTGTTTATGTTTCTGTCGGTATGTGCTCTGTTCTCTGTGAGTCGTTGATGTGTTTTGTACTTGTAGATACCTAATAAAGAATGGATACTGCCAAAGAATTGAATATTGTAGACCCGAAAACAGACATAAATTACAGCTTGCTGGTTGATGAGGAAGATTATAATAGGGCCTTAAATGTAATTAAGACAACACCAAGACACATATCTTTTTTTGTTTTTTAGTAATCACTTTCATGGTTTTCAAAGATTAGTGTTTGAAATTCAAAGCATTTAAATCAAATTCAAATTGATTTTTACAAACATCAACACATAACCTTAACCTGTTAAATAAAACGCGAATTTCGCGCTTATGGAGACATGGGAATAATTTGCTCGGAAATAGCCACCAAAAAATGACACTTAAAAAATTCGCTTTCCGCGATTTCGCGTCTATGGAGACTAGGCTTAAAGCCTAGTACTCATAACTGCGAAATTCGCACTTTTTTGACATTGCTTTGACAAATTGACGTTTTATGCGTGAATCAAAAGTCAAATTTTCGAAGCAATGTCAAAACAGTGCGAATTTCGCAGTTATGAGTACTAGGCTTAAAGCGTAGTACTCATAACTGCGAAATTCGCATTTTTTTGACATTGCTTCGACTATTTGACGTTTGATACACGCATAAAACGTCAAATTGTCAACGCGATGTCAAAATAATGCGAATTTCGCAGTTATGAGTATTATAACACTTTTCGAAAGGAATAAGCGCGTGAAGCCCCGGAGCTGTTCCGGAGCTCCTCCTAGGTGTGAAAGGAATACAACTTATGCCAAATTGAACATCATACTTTCTTTTAAGGGCCGGTTTGCCCGGTCCCGGTTTCTTAATAGTACCTAAATATAGTAAATAGAGAGTCGCCTCCGAGTTGGTTTTAACTCCAGGGGCTGGGATCACGACAAGTAGAATTCTACTTTCATGAAGTTAGGTTGCCTAGCATCCATCATCATCGCCTGTATTGTACGCGATAAATAGGTCGCGGGTGACGTCATGAAAGTAGAATGCTACTCGTCGTGATCTCAGCCAGGTTGAACGTGTCCTGTGTTTACCCAGGGCTGGGATCACGACAAGTAGAATTCTACTTTCATGACGCTGGGACTCTGAGATATTTTTCTCTATCTCCATTAACGTTCCCTCTCTATTGATTTCGATGAGAGGGAAGAAGACAACTACTGCCCTAGCGATAGGGATAACGATCTCTATCGGTTACCTCTCAGTCAGGTTACCTAGCCTAGCAATCGTCATCATCGCCTGTAGTAGGTGGGTTCGAGATGCCTGTTCTGTAAACTTCAAGTGTAATACACTCGCGATGCGTTCGGGTATTGCCATTTTATGCTAAGAGAGTAACTCCACATGCGTTCGGGAAGGACGTGCGGGAGTCAAAAGAGTTGTTAGAGTTAGGTTAAGTTAAGAAAATCCAAATGCATCCTGGCCGTTCGGTTTCGACGGTTTCACTAATCCACTCCAAAACCTTTTTGGTTACGTAATAAAAACGCCACTCCAACTCTACTCCAGCTCCGCTTAGCCATCCCGAACCCAGCCAGAGTACGTGATAAATAGGTCGCGAGCGTCGCGAGTGACGACATGAAAGTAGAATTCTACTGGCATGTAATATTGACAGTTGCGTCGTAGATGGTGCCTCTGTACTGAAGATTTTTCTGCATTTTGGAACGGCGGTGCCTAAACATGGGCACAGCTTGTGTTAAATTTTGAAGTTTCGTTGTGTTGTTGGTTCTTTGGAATATTTGGTGGTGTGGTGTTGGATGCAGTAAGGTTGGTATCTGGTTAAATATCTATTTTTAATAGTTTTCAGTACGATTTTTGAGGAGTTGAGTGTTTGGTTTATAGTTAATGCAGATGGAACAGAAATTGGAGCAATTGGAACACTTAGAGTAACTCGAACACAGGAAGGAATTCAAATAGAATAAAGCTAAAAAAACAGACTTTATATATTATCTGACACTAGTGACAGTTCGGACACTGGAGCTATGAAGCTTCGACGCCTCGCTGAGGCGCTAGCGGTTGGGATAAACGAGGGATAGACGACCCGGGGCTTGAAGCCCCGATTAAAAACAACGGTTCTTCACATTTCAAAATCGTGATCCTGGGCGCCCAAGCTTCTGAAAAGAAAGCAGTTTAGAGTAGTTTGAACAGTGATAACCGGAGAAGTGCAAACAGAACAGAGTAAGTGGAGATGGAACAAAAATTAAAGCAATTAGAACACTTAGAGTTACTCGGAAAATAGAAGGAATTCAAATAGAATGCAGATGAAATATACTTTAGAGTAATTTGAAATCGAGTTATTGCAAATGGAACAGAATTAAAATAGTCAACCAAGTTCGGACAGTTGAACAGATCAAAAAGAGTCAGTGCACTTGGAACAGTCAGAGTAAAATCACTAGAAATCGAAAATTAATTTTCAAATCAGCCCATGGTTATAGTGAATAAATTCATTATTTAGTAGCAAAATAGAGTAGTTCGAACAGTAATAATCGGAGCAGTGCAAACAAAACAGAGTTAGTGCAGACGAAACAAAAATTAAAGCTAGTGCAAATGGAACAGAATTAAAACAATCAAAGTGGTTCGGACAGCTGAACAGATCAAAAAGAGTCAGTGCACTTGGAACAGTGAGAGTTTAATTACGAAACACCTAAAATTAGTTTTCTAATCTGCCCATTGTTATACTGAATAAATTCATTTTTTGTAACTTATTAGAATAATTCGAACAGTAACAATCAGAGCAGTGCAAACAGAACAGAGCTATTGCAGATGAAACGGGAATTTAAGCAATTGGAACATTTAGAGTAATTCGAACAATAGAAGGAATTCAAATAGAATACATACATACTTTCGATCTGAAAAACTAATATTGTTTTCCATTTGTCGAATCAGGGCAAAAAAAATGTATCCTTGTCCTTACATGTTACATGCTTTTAGATAAATATGCGGATACACTCAGTGCGGCACTGATGACAAATGGAAATCGCCATAATTGTAATCATATCGGGTTTGTTTATGAAGCGTCAAAAAAACAGTTAGGGCCAATGAAATCGCGGTAAAACCAGATGACAGATGACCAGAAACAAACCTCAAGTGCCTTCGATCAGTTTGCTCAGATCGAAAGAATACCTGGAATAATGCAGATGGAATGCTAGAGTAATTTGAATCGAGTTAGTGCAAATGGAACAGAACTAGAACAGTCAGGTAGTTCGGACAGTTGAACAGATCAAAAAGATTCAGTGCATTTGGAACAGTCAGAATAGAATAACCGAAGACCCAAAATTAATTTTCAAATGAGCCTATCAAAATTACACTCGGTTATTTACGCGCCACTACTCAAAAAGCTCCAAGTACCCCCCTACAACTCAATTTTGGACCCGTTTCTCAATAGCGAGTCACTCCCGGGTTAAGCATAACTCCAGGGTAAACATTGCAACTGGACTATTACCCTGGAGTTAAAAACCAACCCAGAGGTCACTCGTTATTGAAAAACCGGCCCTTTGAATATTACATGCCAATGTCGTGATCCCTGCCCTGGAGTTAGCTTAACCCGGGGGTGACTTGCTATTGAGAAATCGGACCTAAATGGCGTTTCCGATTGGTAATTTCAATGCGCATTGAAGGCTGAAGGTACGGCGGGCTGATAAATGACCAATAGCAACGAATCTTTTTGAAGGTTTTGTTGTTTGTCACTCCGTAGGTTGGTTGGACACTTATTCTATGGTTGGACAGAGTATAGTTCCGTACTGGGGTGCGTTCAAAGATGGTGATGCTCATGCCAAAACCTTCTTTTACCCCTCCACCGGTAATGCCGAACCACGTAGGTTGGAGCCAATCTCGAACGCAAAATGCCAATTTTGGCTTGGCTGTAGCCATTCCTGAACGCAGCCCTGGTCTACTAATCAGAAATGCTAATGGTAGGTTTCTCCTCGGTTTCTCAATAGTTGTATTCCTTTCACACCTAGGAGGAGCTCCGGAACAGCTCCGGGGCTTTACGCGCTTATTCCTTTCAAAAAGTGTTTGTTGCACCTGAGTGCTCAAGCCCAAACCAGCGCATCTGTTCCTTTCAAATCGGGGTCAACTAACACCGGAACGAGTAGCCCTAGTGTTTTAAACTCTTGAAAGGAATACAACTATTAGCGAGTCACCTCACCTCGGGGTTTAGTTTTTACTCCAGGGTAAACGTGTTCAGTTGCAATGTTTACCCTGGAGTTATGCTTAACCCGGAGTCGACTTGCTATTGAGAAACCGGGCCTAATTAACGATTTCATCCTTCATTAAAACACAATAACTCTTTTCACGTTGCTCCGGTTTAACAAACCGCAACATACCGCTCAAATTCGAGTGGTAAGTATCCATCACCTCACTTTGTAACCGGGTTAGAAAACGGTATGTCATTTCTCTAACCGTTTTAACCCCATTTTCTAAAAGTACGTTCGACGTGACGTCATAGATCTCTGCTAGGGTGCTCTGGCTATGAAGAGCGATAATCCAAACGAGTACACACCATTTGAAATCAATAGCCAAACGTAACATTTTGTTTTGATCAATCTCTTCAATCTATCGAATTTGATGGAGCAAGGAAAAGCAAGGAGAGCGTTCTATTATTGCTCAAGTCGAACACGTGAATCAAGCCGAGAGCAACGCTCTGTTTTGTAAGCCGAACATCCTTGCTATTTTGCTCAAAGAGCAGAGCGTGCTGAAGCGGAGCAGTAATCACGTGACCAGCGAGTGAGCCTGCACCGAGCACACTTTTTAAATAAACGAACGGTAAATTCAAGCTCGGAGAACTCAGGTCAAAATACCGAAGGCACGGCATGGTGAATCCGTTTCGGATCGCTTTTTGATCAATCGAGAACAGTTTTGAGGTGAAAGTCGAAAACGCTATGGTGGCGAACACAAATCCCTTGACATTTGACGCACATCACTGATATTTAATGTCAATTTCAAATAAACAAAAAGTGACACTGGTAAAATTCGAAGACGGTTTTAACGTTTCTTTAGAATTTTGAATTATTTTTTATTAATTATTTGCTGTTAATTTGATAAGGAAAATTGTCTAGAAGGTCGACCAATTGTGTATAGTGATTGCCAAAATGTTTAGTGCAGATAATAAGGAGGTAAAATTCGTTTTATAAATATAAAAGCAACAAATATCAAGAAAAACATGGTTTGCTAAAAAAAAATTCTTTGATATTTGTTCATAATAAAATCGTAATTATTATTTATTCACCATTCCTAATGTATAGTCAAAACCCTGATTAGTTAAGTCTTTTGTATTGTATAATTTCCGACTTAATTTTTGAATCTAAGCCAAATGTTAGACACTATTTGTAATTATTTTTAACTTGAGCATATTTGCCAAACTTTCTAACAAGGAATATTGTAATAATAATTTGCATTTTTACTACAATATAACTTTTAATACTAGAATTCTAAGAATATCAGGACCAAGTAGTTTCAAGGTGTCCAAAGTAGGTGTACAAATTTTTAAACAGAACTTCAAGAGTACCCTACAGGACTTGAATAGGACTACCTATACAGTATATACTACATACTTCAACAGGACTATATTACTTCAATAGGACTATATTATATGCAGGACTAGTGTTATGCAAAGAAAAAGAATCTTTCTGCTTGGCTCTCTAGATCTCTTTCTAGACCAACCAAATAGGTTTTACCCAGGTTTTATTTTCTGTTAGGAATTTGGATAACTTTATAATTCATGATATTTCTTATTACCAACCTAGTTCCAGCTTCTATTCGAATTTTACTATCTGTAAATATCACTTTTATTCTGTTTCTTCGGAGTTGAATTCAGTTGAACTGGAACTGAAGTGAGTTTTATCAGGTTGTTCCAACATATCAAAAACAACCCATAAACGGTTTCAAAACCGCTGTCTACATGAATTTCGAATTCCATGAAGAAATTTCAGGTTTTGCGCAGAATCGTGAGGATTTGCGTTGGACCTAAAGGAGTTTTACAAGACTTGTGCAGGACCTACAAGACTTGACCAGGACCTTAAAAATATGTACATAGGTACTGTAGGACAGTGTACAAATATGATACTTGATTATGACCTTCTAATACATTTCCAAACCCCAAATCATGCTTCTGGATTTTCACAACAAATATATTTTTATAAAATCATTAGCAAATAATAAAATCTTTTATTCCCAAGTAGCTATGAAGTAACATTAAATTCTTTAGATTTCAGGCAAAATAACTCTTTTTCATTTGCTCTATCCTATAACTTATAATAGGATTGCAACTATGATGATAGCAACATTTAAAACACCTAAAAAACAAATTTTTATTTTAATTTGTAAAACCATATTTCTCCTAGCATTGTATCCACTCTGTATAGACAATTAATAATCCAATTTTAGACTTAAATACCCATTTGACTCAACTCCCTCGCTAGCACCATAATTTTAATGTGATCCTGTCCCAGAGGTTTGGCTAAAAATAGAACCTTTTTCCTCTTCCATTCACAATCAGTTGCTTTGTATTTTTGTCTTCTATGGGATTTGATTTTTAGAATAATGTTTGGAAAATCGCGTCTTTGTTTGTTGAATCCATGAAACTTTATTTTGTTCGTGTTTTTATTTTGTATTTTTTTAAAAGTATGAATTTTTTTACAAGCGTTTTTAAAAAATATATGCATGTAAGTTGTATTGACTGAAACATCCTTCTTCCATTAAAATTTTATTTAAAGATATTAATATTGCATATTATTTTTAATCTGGCATTGTACTGATAAGATTATCAAAGTATATTTATTGACTTTAATCAAATAATTGTTTCCAGAATAATGCAAAATCGTCAACAGATGATAAATCTACTAACAAGACTGTTGGTAAGTTTTGATTTAAATTCTTTAGACCAATATTTTTTCAAATAACTCATTATTTATAGTTAGACGCTCCGTTTTGAAAGAATTCGATCCTTTTTATTCAAGGTAAGCTGTCTGTGTTTATTTATAGAAAACTTATTTATTAATTAAAAAATCTTGATTATAATCTTCATTGAAAATTTTAACTTTCCATTCATAAGGATAGTGCTGATCTCGGTGCTGATGGATCTAGAGCCATTTAACTTTTACCCCTAAAATATTATTTTAGCATAAATTATGTATTTTTTTTGACAGTCCCCATCAAAACCTTGATAAGCCAACAGCTATAAATGAAGAATGCGAAGAAGAAGCAAATGACACACCAGATGATACTCAAATAAATAAAAAACTAGAAGATCCATTGTTACAAGCGAATGCATCCAAACAAGACTTCCAGGTGACACCTAAGACTAGTCAAGGGTTAGCAGAATATCTATCTGAGCACAAAACAGAAAATTTGTCAAAAGAAGAATATCAACATCTAAAAGAAGCTTACATTCTGGAAAACGATTACTGTGCCTATATCAAATACACGCCTGATAAAAAACCAATTTTAGAATGCGTGAGAGATTTAACTGACGAATTAGCTATGCTAAACATAACTGAAAGCGTTCCAGAAAATCAATTGCCTCAATATTTCGAATGCCAAGAACCGAAACCAAACGACATTGTCTTTGTCAATACCCATTTCGATTGTACATTTGATCAAACTCAAAACATGGAAGCTTGCGATCCACTAGGAGGTTCTTTCGTCAACAAAACCGTTGATCATTTGGATCAAGAGTCTGTGTACGAGGAATGCCTTGACACCAGCTTTTCCAACGTGGACAGCGCCGAGCCTGAAAACGAGGAAATTTTGGAAATAATTAATAGGAGTTTCGAGGAGGCTTTAGATGGGAATGATGTGGAAATTGAAGATAATAATAGTCAGGATGGGATTTTTGAGAATGTAGTGCAATCTTTCAAAAAAGAAGATACAGAAGAAAAAGATACTTCTGTAATAAATAAAAGTATTGGAGCTAATATGGAAACATCGCACAAGATTCAGCAAGAAGATGATTCTTTTGCTGTAGTAAATCTCGAAGAAATTGAAATTAACCCTGATCAAGATTGTGAAGGAACTGCTGGCAAGTCAATAGATAGAGTAGTATTTGAGAATCAACAAGGAAATGTTTCTTTTGGTACTGAATTGAAATCTGCTCAAGATGTTGAAGAAGCTAATGCTAAATCAATGGATGTAAGTTTTGAAGCAAAAGAGACTCATAAAGAAACTGTTGATACAACTTTTAAAGCCCAAGACACAACTTTTGAAGAAGTGTGTGACGCTCAGCATCAACATGCTTCTTTTGTAATTGAAGAAGTATACGGAATCTCTAAAGTTGTAATTTCTGAAGCAGATGAAGCAAAAAGCCCAGCTCAAGTAGTAGTAAGTGAGGATCAGCCTAAAAACACTTCCTTTGTGATTGAAGAAAATGAAAAGATTCCAGAAATTATAATTACTGAAGCCACTGAAGTAGAAGATGCTCAGATTGTCAATGAAAAGCTAATGGATACAACTTTCGAAGGAAAAAATGAAGCTGCTGAAACTACACATGAAGAGCAACCCAAAGAGGTTATTCTTGAAGCAGAAATTGTTCATGATGCTATTTTCGTGACTGAAGAAACCAGTTCAAAAGTGGCTCAGAATGTCAATGACAAGCCAATGAATACAACTTTTGAAGGAAAAAATGAAGCTGCTGAAGATCAACTCGAAGATAGGTTTTTTGTTGACTCATTACAAAGTCCCAATGAAGTTATTTGTAAAGCTGAAATAGTTCATGAAGATCAGCATGAAAATGCCACTTTTATGACTGAAGAAACTGATTCAAAAGACATAATTTCTGAAGCCACTGAATTAGATCTTGCTCATAATGTCTCTGACAAGCCAATGGATACAACTTTTGGAGGAAAAAATGAAGCTGCTGAAACTACACATGAGCCTAAAGATGCCTCTTTTAGCGTTAAATCTGCAGTACTGAGCCCTGAAGAGATTTTTTCTGAAGCAGATCAAGCAGAAACTGTTCATGAAGATGCTAATTTTGTGACTGAAGAAACCAGTTCAAAAGACATAATTTCTGAAGCTACTGAAGTAGAAGTTGCTCAAAATGTCACTGACAAATTAATGGATGCAACTTTTGAAGGAAAAAATGAAGCTGTTAAAATTCCACATGAAGATCATCAGCCCAAAGATGTCTCTGTTGTCTTCGAAGACGCAGTCTTGAGTCCTGATGAGATTATTTTTGAAGCAGAAAATGCTACTTTCGTGGCTGATGAATGCAGTTCAAAAGACGTAATTGCTGAAGCCACTGAAGAAGAAGTTCAGAAACTGACGCCAATAAATACAACTTTTGAAGAAAAAAATGAGGTTGCTGAAGATCAACATAGACCCAAAAATGTCTCAGTAGAGAGCCCTGAAGAAGTTATTTTTGAAGCAGAAATTGTTCATGATGATCAGCATGGAAATGCTACTTTTGTGACGGAAGAAACCTCTCCAAAAGATATAATCTCTGAAGTGGAACTTGTTCAGAATGTCACTGACAAACCAGTGAATACAACTTTTGAAGGAAAAAATGAGGTTGCCGAAGATCAACATAGACCCAAAGATGTTTCAGTAGAAAGCCCTGAAGAAGTTATTTTTGAAGCAGAAATTGTTCATGATGATCAGCATGGAAATGCTACTTTTGTGACAGAAGAAACCTGTTCAAAAGACATTATCTCTAAAGTGGAACTTGCTCAAAATGTCACTGACAAACCAGTGAATACAACTTTTGGAACTTTACCTGAAGATGCCTCTTTTGTTCTTGAAGCAGCAAGACTCAAAGAAACTGATGATGAACCAATGGATATAACTATTAAGACAAAAACCATTAGCTCTCCTGAGATTGCGACTTATGAAGAAACAGATGAGCCAATGGAAACATCCATTATTATCGTTGATACAGTCGAAGTAAATTCTACAGAAACTCATGATGAGCGAATGGATATTAGTTCTGAAACTAATGAGGCTCAGAAAACTATTATCAAGCCAACTTTTGAAGCTGAAACTGAAGACAACATATCAAATCCTAGAGCTTCCATTAAAATTAATACATCAAGCTCTTCATTTGTAATCTCGGATGAACACGCAGCTGAATCTACAAAATGTGCCGAAGCTCTTGCTCAAAGCCTCAATCAAACTATTGACGTAGAAGAATCGGCAATTATAGAAGATATTGATGCTATTGATAACCTCAATGTAACCCTAGAAGCAGCTCAAAACCAGCCCACTGGTGAAGTTCAATTACAAGTTGAAAATCAGATTGTTCAAAAAGAAGCAGAAATTGTTGAAGTTGAAGCTGTTATAATAGAAGATGCTAAAAGTGATAATGCAGAAGTTGCTGCTGAAATACATGAAGATTCCAACAAATTAGTATCAGAACCAATTCAATTGTCACCAAAACCTAAAAGACTAGAATGTCGTCCCAGTATTAGACCTTTATGTAACAAAACTCAAGTAATTGTTAATCCGTTGATATTGCAACAACCTGAGTCTCGAGTATCAGATGGTAATCTTGTTTTTGAGTTAAACTTGTTGCAAACTGAACTGAAACGTATTCAAGAGGATAATGCTAAAAAGGATCAGAGCATTCTTGCACATGTTATGAATAGTCAATCTGCCAAGGAAACTGTCAGAAAATACGAGTAAGTGCAAATTCCTTTAGCAATTACAATAATTAATAATTAATTTACTAGGCACATTACTAGAGAATATAATAATCATGTGAAGAAGCAAAGTGAAGACTTGAAGCTTATGAGAAGAAGATCCGATCAAGTTGCAGCAAACTTGATTAGTACAGAAATGGCCTTTTCAGCTGTGTTCAAGTGTGTTAATTTGTTTTTTTTAAACAATTCAATTAAACTGGAATAATTTTAGGAACTACGAAAAAGCCAAATCAGCTATAGAATCTTACAAGAAAAATGAGTCGATTTTGTGTGAAGAAATCAATAAATTAGAAGACAAATCAGCTGAAGTTAATTTAGAATGTAAATTGGTTGAAGAAAAGTGCCTTGAAGAGATTAAAACGTATTGATCAACATTTAGTTTATTTTGAAATTTTTATTAAATAATTTATTTTAGGGTGCAAGAGCAAGCCGATCGAAAGAAGGAAGCTTACCAGCAAAACCTTAACAAACTCCAAGCTAATGTGAAAAGACTGAAAATCAAAGCTTCCTCACTGGAGTGTTCTTTGAAGCAAAAAACTGAAGAATGTCAAGCTTTGGCTACATTATGTGATGATATTTTAAAAGAAAAACCTTCTACTGTCTCTTAATGTATGTGGTATGTTTTTTTGTATATATTTAGTTCCATAAGGACTTATTTTTGTACTCCCCGTTTTGCCTCTAATTTTACAAAATGGAGTGATTTTATTTAATGTTGTATAAACCCTTACATAATAATTAATACTAAAATATAAAATTTTCTGGTGCCTCATTTGAATAGAAGTAAACAAAAAGTATCCGGTATTGTCGCAGCCCTGTTTGGTTGAGAACGCACTCAGAGTCAGCAAAAGCTTAAAGCCAACAACCTAGGTTTTAGGTCAATGATTTTTTGCCGACAGTATTTCCATCTTGAGTTAACAATGAAAATCTACCAGGATAAAAACAATCAAACAACTTCAAGTACTAAATTATTTTTTATTGATTTTTATCAGCCAATTTTTGCTTAACCATATCCTTAAACTGTCCCAATATAAGATTCTCCCTTTTCTGTCTCTCTTCTTTACTGAACATTGCCAATGCCCTTTTCTCATCGGCTGAATAAATTTGATTTTCCTTCCTTATACGTACAGCTTCCATTCTTCTATGTCTAGATCCGGACATAACGTAACCGACTTTTTCAAAGGAAGCGATTTCATTGGAAGTCAAACCTATTTCACCTCTTCTGGGAATACGTTTGCCTTCTGCTACATAAGCTGCCATAGCAGCCCCTTCTCCGGGTAATAGGGCTTTGCCCATTTCTTTATGAGTAAGGGTTGTTTGGGGTTTGAGAGTTGGACCTACAACTGATTCTTCTTCAGAATCGGATGATGATGAGTCTGATACAAATTGCTTTTTAGGTTTGCTGACTTGGTCTTTTTCGACCCATTCTTCTTCTAGCTCGTCAGAAGACTCCTCTGAACTTGAGGATACTTTCCGTTTCTTTTTTTTCTTTTTATCTTTTTTGCGTTTTTTGTCTTTCTTGTGCTTTTTATCTTTTTTGTGTTTCTTTTTCTTTGACTTTTTTTGACTTGATTCTTCTTTTACTTTTTCTTCTTCAGACGCGTCCTCTTCTCTCAAAGGTGATTTCGCCCACATACTACTTTCCCTGGTACCTAAAACTTCCCTTTCTTGTCTTCTGTGTTCCATAAAAGCATCTTCTTGAGACGGGAATTTCTTTGGATCTCTGGATCGATTGTGGTCATGGTCACCACTTTTCCTGTCCGTTCTAGAATATTTATCATCAGGATACCTAAAAATAAACCAGTTTTAATGAAAGATTGCTCCAGTTTAGTAATTAGGAAATTAATAAGCTTCAAATTCCTCTTACCTAAACGATTCTTCGTGTCTATGTCTACTGGATGTGGATTCATATTTTGAAACTCTAGATTTGCTCCTGCTTCTGGATCTCGACCTGTGCGATCTAGGTTTTCTGGAAGCGCTTCTGGAATCTGGAGATCGATTTCTATGCCTGTGGGAGAGCATTATTAATATGTTTAATAATTTTCCTGGATTTTAAATTTATAAAAACAATTTTTTTTACTATTGCCTTGGAACAGCTGATTCGTTGACAACCATAGTTTGCTCTGGATAGAGAGTACTCTGAACCAGTTCGAGTTCGATCAGTGCCAAACTTGCTCGGTGCAAATGGAACGCAAGTCTATTAGCACTCGAAGCAGACCAGTTTAGAACAAAATAGTTTAAATTTCCTTGCACCGTCCACTGACCGTTAGGTTTTAAGTTCACTCCATCAGATCCGGTGTAACTTGACACAACTCGACTCCAATTCAACAACATAGAACTGGGAACCCAGCTGCCTCTAGGTTCAATACACTTCGAATATAACCTTTGGGTTCACTAGGAGCAAAAAGTGTCGCACTAATTTCTCAATGTAAGCCAATAACCAGCACTGAAAGGTCTTGGCAATTGACAACTAGTAGTGACACTGACTGACTGCTAACTGACAGTAGTTTTGTTTATTTTTATTGTATTGATTTTAATTGCCGCGTTTTTTATTGTATATTATTTATAATTATTTTATTTTAATTTCTTTATACATTTTTAATTATATACAATAAATAAAAACACAATAGAATGAAAGAAAAAAAAAGTACGTTGCCTGATGATGGAAATTCAATCGAGGAATCCGGTGACGAGGGGGTAAGACAAGTAGAATAGGTTTAAGAGAATTCAATTGGCTTTAATTAGAGCTGAATTACATTGAAATCGAATGAAAACTAAAGGAGCTGTGAGGCAAAAGCTGTCTCAGTGTCATTTTTGGAAAAATTTCTATGTTTGATAAATTCAATTTTTGAGCTTCTCAGCTGCAAAACTGTTCAACTAAATCAAAATCCTAATTAATAGGTTTAGAGAGAATTTAATTGGCTTTAATAAGAGCCTAATTACATTGAAATTGGATAAAAACTACAGGAGCTGTGAGGCAAAAACTCTCAGTGTCATTTTTGAAAAATATTCAATGTTCAATAAATTCAATTTAGAAGCTTCTCAGCTGCTAAACAGTTGGAACTAAATTGAAATCTTAATTTATAGGTTTGTAAAGAATTTAATTGGCTTTAATTAGAGCCTAATTGCGTTGAAATCAGATGAAAATTAAAGGAGCTGTGAGACAAAACTTGTCTCAGTGTCATTTCTGGAAAATTTTCAATGTTCAATAAATTCAATTTTGAAGCTTCTCAGCTGCAAAACGGTTGAAACTAAATTGAAATCTAAATTCATAGGTTTGTAGAGAATTTAATTGGCTTTAATAAAAGCCTAATTGCGTTGAAATCAGATGAAAATTAAAGGAGCTGTGAGACAAAAACTTCCTCAATGTCATTTTTGGAAAATTTTCTATATTCGAAAAATTCAATTTTGAAGCTTCTCAGCTGCAAAACTGTTGAAACTAAATGAAAATCTGAATCAACGGGTTTGAATAGAACTTGATTGGCTTTATTCAGATCTTAATTGTGTAAAAATCGGATGAAAATTAAAGGATCTGTAAGGCAAAACCTGTCTCAGTGTCATTTTTAGCAAACTTTCAATGTTCAATAAATTCAATTTTGAAGCTACTCAATTTCAAAACTGCTGAAACTAAATTAAAAACTTAACAGGTTTGTAGAGAATTCAATTGGCTTCAATGAGAGCCTAATTACATTGAAATCGGGTGATAATTAAAAGAGCTGTGAGCCAAAAACTTTCTCAGTGTCATTTTTGAAAAATGTTCAATGTTCGATAAGTTCCATTTTGAAGTTTCTCAGCTGGAAAACTGTTAAAGCAAATATACAATTTTGTCTAGTTAGGTAAACACAATAACCCGCACAAATTCAAAAACCCAGTAGAAATATAGTTATTTTCATCAATAATTAGTTCTATTCGTCTATTTGATTTAATTGTAGAATACAGAATAAAGTCTCCTTGGAGGTCTTTTCATAATATTATTATTTCCCTAATTCCCTAATACTTCTGCGAATAACACACAGTGGTGAAGGTTTATTGAAATTGGAAAATTATGTGTGAAAATAGTGGAGGTGGTAAACCTAATGTGCAGTTTGGAAGATCATCAAGTCTTGAGGAAAATGCTGTAAAAAAATATAGAAGCAGAACCTTTAGACCAAAATCCAAACAAAAGGCAAAGATCTGACACAAGTATACCAGAAGAAAATCCCCAGAAACGGCAGTGTGATGATGGAAAAAAATCTGAAAATAAAGATTTGCATAACTCAGGTTCTTTGACAAACGACTGTATATCTGAGAGAATCATATCCCAGTTTTATCAGATTTTACAGGAAATATCAGAGATAATGGATAAGAAAAAAGAACAAAACACAAACATACAAATTACAATTCAAGAACAAAATATAATAAAAAAATGCCCACATTAACCTGAGCAGTATTTTCACAAAAATGATATTCAAAACTGGAGAAATCATGATGCTTCAATTTAGACTTTAACAAAGCAATATACAGGATACATTTAAAATGGAGGAAAATAATAAACAAAAAACCTCGCAAGAAACATATGCAAAAATAGTTAACAAATCTTCAACAATAATAAGAGAAACCCCAGCAAAACAGAAAGTTGTAAAATGGACAACACTGAAAACAACAAAAAGACATGGAACGTTTATCACAGTTAATAACCAGAATGATCCTAAAAAAGCCATGAAAACGTTGAAAACCCAGATAAAATTGAAAGAAGTGGGCAAAGCATTCAAGAACATAAGGCAAACGAAAAGTGGAGCAATAATTGTGGCAAGCTTCAACCAGAGTCAAGATGAAACAATGCTGTGCAAAATGTGGAGGAGACCATCCAATAGCTGACTGTGAAGAAGCAAATCTCACATGCAATTTGGTAAGAGGACATAAAAAATTTGAGCCTAATAGAGGAAGGTAATCTTGCCATTGGCATATGTTTGGATTTGTCTAAAGCATATGATATGTTAACCCGGACCTACTTTTGGCAAAACTAGAAAGGTACGGTATCAAAGAAAATACAGTGAATCTTTTCAAATCATATGTCACAGGTAGAATTCAGAGAGTTAAGGTTGTGAAAAATGGACCAACATACTTTTCAAACCCCATCGAGAATAAAATTGGAATTGCTCAAGGTAGTATAGCTGGACCCATTTTGTTTGTAATATTTTTAAATGACCCATCACATGTTTTGCAGATGATACCAATCTAATTACTGGCGCCAAGAATATGCCAGAACTCATATCAGAAGGGTCATCTTTGTTTGGTAGGACTAAGAGCTGGTTTTCTGAAAATAAATTGTTGTTGAATAAAAATAAATTGAACATCTTGTTCCTTAGAACAAAGCAATGCAATATTGATAAGCCACTAAAAGTGAATATTGGAGAAACAGAGATTGAATTAGTGTCAGACACAAAAGGAATTGGACGAGTTTTTGGACTGGACCGGCTGGACCGCACATATACAGAGGTCCATGCAAAAACTTAACTGAATTTGTTATGGAATTGGGGTTGTGGGAAGGTACATGAACGGGAGCAGTCTAAGAATGATTTATTATGCAAATTATGAATCCATTCTGAGGTATGGCATAATGTTTTGGAGTACTAACAGCGGTACACATAAGGTTTTTGTAATACAGAAGAGAGTCTGTTACGGGTTATTTTCAGGGATTGAATTCGTATCGCTTTCCAAGCAATTTGATATTGAATATTATGAGCAGTTTGTCCACTGAGTATTTTTGGCGTTCGCCGTTCCTTAAATCTAAAAGAAAAACCCATTCTCGTATAATAAAGATAAATCCATCAAATTTAAATATTTGGTACAACTAAAGAGAGAGTCGATGGTACCGATTTTATTTTCCATCGCTGTTATCTAGCAGGGACGGTACCGAATTTCAGGCATTTGCAAAAAATTAGGTTGATCATTCGATTTTTGGCTGCGAAAGCTACTTGATTCACGCTAGCACGTTTTGCTAATTTTACTTTAGAATATCGGTTTTCCTTTTCCCAATTTAATTGCAGAATAGTTTTCTGAGCCTAAGCATAGTTTGCTGATGTGATTTTGGGAAAAATCCTGGAAAATATTGGAAATTCTAAGATATTAACTACAAAACCACATGGTTTCTCTTTGAAAGGCCACCCTAGAACTTTTGGTAAGTCTCATTTGTTCTTTCTAGCCTGTTCCGCTGCTGATACTATAGGCCTTCTTCTTTTATCTTGCGATTTTTTTTATTCCTTTGCTGGGAAAATCCACCTTGACCAGTTTCCTTGTCATTCTTGTCCTGGCAACTAAACTATCGTGAAACTGATGCACTTGCCTCAGTATCCTGGGATTTCTTTACGTCGGATGCCACAATTTATACCTACCAGATTCGGAATTACTGGGTACAGACAGTATCAAATGGTCAAGAAAATGGTACCTACCTGAACGGGTTTTGTGTATTGTACTGAACTGCTCCTGCTACCCATAAGGTCAGATCTTTCCATTTTTCTTATATAATTTAATTATCTCAAGCCCTCAGCGTGGCTGAAAAACATTGGATGGCAACATACGTATTTAACTGGCCGTGTACTATTACCACTTTAGGGCCTCCTAGTTTTTAAGTTGGTTGTTTCGATAAAGTGCTGAAAACCTTACGAATGTACACCAAATAGATGCATATACGCGGTATTTTCTAATCACTGGTGATTATTTACAGTATTTTCAAGTTTCAAGAATATTTTGTTAAATTTTACATAAGTAGTTTATTCAAATTCGAATATGATAAACGATAAAATACTAATTTGATATATGACATTACTGAAGGTGTAAAATTATAGTGTTTTACTTCTTTAATTAAAGCTGCCATTTCGTATTTTGAATTTAGTGTTTCTTTCCCTTGGTTTATTACTTACTTGAGGTTCTTTCCCGTTTTGTTGGTTAGCACGATTACCTTTCTGTAGGGGTGAAAACGGGTGGCGCTATTATAAATTTATCTGAGCTATTTACCCTCGACCACTCTCCACTGGCATAGCTAGCTAGGAAGGGCCTTTGTACCCCAAACAGGTAATTGTTCCGAACCGTTTAAGTGAACTCTTGGTTTAGTGCACCCAGCTAACATTATTTTTAGAATTCCACTCATTTTGCAGCGAAACCATATAATTTTGATATTTAATTTTTTTTTACTCATAACAAGTCTTGAAAACAATTAGTAAAATGGGATTTATCGAAAGCTGTAGAGGTGCATTCAAATCTTATGGCATTTTTACTGTTTATGGACTATACATCTATGAATATTTGATGTTTTTCTTCAATAATGGGATTCTTTTTGAAAACGAGACTGGGCATCAATACAATACTATTTTTTTTTTATAGAACACATAATGTAAATTACCTTATTCATAGACTTTCCCTAACTGAAAAGAACCCGAGTTACATGTGTTTAAGGTTATTTGATAATTTGCCCAATGATATTAAACTTAGTTTTACCACATATATCAACATTAGATACGTGGAAAAGATATTTAATAAAATCCCCTCCCTAGGATGATACTTCTAGCATTGCCAGCACGTCTACTACAGATGCCAGATCCAGAAGCGTGACACCCACTGCCCGTAGAGGCCGAGGTGGCAAAAAACGCGCCAGCAACTCCCTCAAAGTGCTCAAACCCATTTACAAATACACGCAAGTTACTCATAATTAATCTATTGAAGATTTTACAGGATATTTCTTGCAGATGTAGCATCAAAGAGGATCACGGACAGCCCTTATTTGGGGCTCAATTCAATCATCACCTCAAAGAGGGCCAACCGGTGATGTTCGCTGCCGTTGGTAGCAATCGCGTGACTGTTTACGAATGTCCTGAAGCAGGAGGGATTAAATTGGTTCAGTGTTATGCAGATCCAGATGTAAATAACTTTGTTATGTAGTTTTGGTTTGTAGGTAATTATTTTTATTTTAGTTGGACGAAAATTTTTATACTTGTACTTGGTCTTATGATGAAGATATTGGGAAGCCCTTATTGGCAGTTGCTGGTGCTAGAGGTAAGTCAAAAAAAAAATTGGATTTCATTTGAAAATTATTTTGTGTTTTCAAGGTGTTATCAGAATTCTAAATCCAGCCATAATGACTTGCATAAAACACTACATTGGACACGGACATGCAATAAATGAGCTCAAATTTCATCCAGTTGATCCTAATTTGTTGCTTTCAGTGTCTAAAGATCATTCCTTAAGGTAAAAAGCTCGTCCTTTGCTTAAATTGTAATTATACAGCCTAAATTCTAGATTATGGAATATTAAAAGTGATGTGTGTATTGCGATTTTTGGTGGCGTCGAAGGGCATAGAGATGAAGTGCTTAGTGCCGATTTTGACTTATTAGGAAACAGGATAATGTCTTGCGGTATGGATCATTCCTTGAAACTTTGGCTTTTAGACAAGGATTATGTGAAAGAGGCCATTAAGCAGTCATATAACTGGAACGCTGCTAGGAATTCTAGGCCTTTTGATACTTTGAAAGAGCATTTTCCTGATTTTTCTACAAGAGATATTCACAGGTATGTGTATTTATTAATTAGTTTGAAGTTTTTAATAGTAACTGTGTATTTTTTTTTTCTAGGAATTATGTTGATTGTGTGAAATGGTTGGGGGACTTTGTATTGAGCAAATCTTGTGAGAATTGCATTATTTGCTGGAAACCGGGCAGACTCGAAGATGATCAACTGAGAAAAGGTGAAACCACATCTACGATTATTCATAAATTTGAATATAAGGAATGCGAAATTTGGTTTATCAGATTTGCGATGGACTTTTGGCAGAAAGTGAGTGGCAATTTTAATATTGAAAATTACATTGGTTTTTGTTAGTTAAGTTTGAATCAAAACCATCCATGTACAGGGTGGTCCATTTTCAACTTTGTGGCTAAATTGCTCAAAAAGTATTCGAGCTATCAAACTCAATTTAGCACATATTTATAGAGAATTTAATGCTTTTTCTAATAGTGTATAATTTATTTTTGATTAAAATAAAATTAATATAAATAATTCTTTCTAGATTCTTGCTCTTGGCAATCAAACGGGCAAAGTATTTGTATGGGATTTGGACGTTCCCGACCCGGCTCAAGCAAAATGCCACACCCTGCAACATCCTAGATGTACCACTGCCATCAGACAAACAACTCTCAGCAAAAATATTCTTCTATATGTCTGCGACGATGGTACCATATGGAGATGGGACAAAATAGCCTAAACAAATCTTTTAATTAGGCAATAAACAACTTTGTACGCAAAAATGTTTTGTCTTTCTAAATATATTTTCCTCAACAAATAATCACAATATTGCTCAAAACAGAAAAAAATTAAAATTCAACTAGAAAGTTAATAAATAATTATCAGGTATTATCTTTGTGTTTTGGCGGTCCCAAGTATTTTCTCCCAACATCTTTAAGAACAAACTTTTTAGGAACACTGGGGCCAGCAAATTTGGCTTTAGTAGTATGTTCTGCATATTCCGGCACATACATTTCAAACACCCTATAGTAAAGAAGAATTTTTTCTGCAAAAAAATACAAATAAACCAAAGAAAAAAAAAATAAAAATAAATAATAATTACCAACTATTTCTTTTGGTAACTTATGTTCCTTTGCAATAAAATCAGCATCATATTTTGTAGGATCTTTTTGATGTTGCGAAATAAATTTTAAAGTGTTTCTCAATGTTGTCTTGCCCAAAGGAATTTTATCATCATCAGGCTCTTTGTGACCGAATAAAAATTGTTCTGGTTGAGATTTGTCTTGTGGCAAGGGTCTTGAAGGGTTGATAGGTTGTTGCGGTTGAAACGGAACCTAAAATAATCCATTATTTTTGTGGCAAAACTTATCAAATTACCTACATCTGTGCGTGTTACAAAAACATCTTTCAAATGTTTATCTAAGGTTTCGTTTTTCTTCAAACTCTCTTCGAAGACCTCAGGGAATGCTACAACAAATAATGTATTTTTTGGCTGTAATGAGTAACAAATTTACCTTCTTTCATTCTTTTTAAATCCAATGCGTCTTTAAGGTGTTTCGGGGCAGGTTTCGGTGTAGGTTGGCTTATAACTTTCTGCGCCCTACTTTCCACATTGAAATCCCTGAACGGGTGCTTTATTTTGGAAATTGCTCGGCCCATATTTAAGAGTGTGATAATGATTAAATTATTTAGCAAACTTACAGTTAATTAGTGCATTTTTAATTTAAATTAATACATTTTCCTGCTTGTGGCCTCCTAGCACAGCAAAGTTCAAAACTTTTTGTGAGGTTATGTTATGTCATAGGGTTACGTACGATTAGTATGAAGTTAGCAACAAATAACTTTGGCAACGTCGGACGAAAGTTTAGTTATTTCTATTTGCATTAAATAATAATTGTTTAGTCATTTTGCAATTAATTGATGGTAAAATTATTGCCTTTCTGTTGCATTTTCTCGTATTTTTTTTACAAATTATTGAATAAAAAGTAAATCCCAAAGCCAACTACACGTCACAAGAAATGTCACCAGTCACTTTTTTGACACCTGACATTGTCATTTGAAGAAATCGCACATCCCAAGTCCCCTCAAGATGGCGACTTTTCCACAATAATTTTTTGATTTTTGTAAAAAAGTGTGTATTATTAAACAATTTAAGATGAACTTTTAACGAGTGCTAGTGTTGTGTCTTGGTTTTATCTACACGAAGCAATATTAGAATAAAATGGAAGCTGTGAAGGCCTTTAATGCGGAGGTAAATACACTTCGACCCTAACTGGCTTTCTATTTTGGATATTTTGCCAGTTATTCGTCTGTCCTGTTCTTTTTCCGGTTATTTATCGGTCGGTTTTTCATTATTTGAGTCTCTTTATGCTATAAAATCCTATTAGATAACAATTCGTGATATTTTTCTTTGATTTGAGAAAACATAACCCTACTTTCACTCACACACAATCGCCTGTAGCCTGTATTTTCTTATACCTACTTAAGCCCGATTTATTCATATTCAAGTAAACTAAAGTTGCTGGTAACTCTCTGCAAGATAAATTTACCGTTCTATAGTTCTGTACTCACAGAAATCACATACAAGTCAGAGGGAATTTCATTGATTGAAAATAGTCAGAAAACTGTTTGTTGGTGATTTGCTCCAATCAAAAACGCTTTGGCTGGTTTAAGATTTCTGTGAGAACAGATCCTATAATTCTATTGACAAACCAATGGGATAACCGAGGGGATTACATATTCCGTTTTTATTCATCAGATTGTATACCTGACAGTTTATCAGAAGGTGAATGAACTGAAAGATTAGGGACTATGACTATGATATAATTATAATACAGTTCTCATTGAATTTTGTATTTTTGTATAGGTGAATAAGGTATAGTCCATCGATAGTCAAATGAGACAGTAAAAAAAATAAAATTCCTTTGGCCGTCAACGTTTTTTTTATGAAGCACAGGCGGAGTAAGAGAAATGTATTAAAACAGTTTTATATAAAATAAAACATGAGGCACAATACAACTCAAATAGGAATCAAATTTATAAAAAATATCTACTGCACTATCTTTCCAGACGAAACTGATTCCTGTGCGGCAGTCGCTTCAAAGAAATATGCCGCCAAAGACGCCGCTAAAAAATCTAATCAATAAGATATTCCTGGAGTCAACGGTGACTGTATTAAACAACCAATAAGATGCATTGTTTACACATGGATTCGCATCCAATGTATACGGGCACACTCAATATATTTTGCCAAATAATAGTATAATAATTTTAAGGTGCAATACGATAATTTGTGAAGACCCTAATTTTTGCCTTATCTCATTTGAGAAATGATAGACTATACTTGATCCAGGTTCCTGGTCTCCTCAATTAAATAAATCAGCTTGATTATTTTTCTATACAAGATGTCCTATAGTTAGTGCCCAAAACCTACAAAAATAATGGGTCGTAAAGGTCATTGAAACAGCCATTGGTATCAATAAACTCCATTTTGAAAATATACCATCTTGGTACTAGGATCAATATTGCACTAGCAAAAATTTGTCAATTTACACTAACTTTAATAGTTGCTTACCCTCCTAATTAAAAATGGAGATTAAAATACTCAAGAAAACTATCCATACCTTGCACAGATACTACCTATAATGTACCACTTTCACGTGCCGAGAATATGGCAAAATACGATATTTTTTGATGCAGATACCTGGAAAGCAACCGGGAATAAACAATATTTTTTACAATTTTAGTCAGTTATTAAATAACTGAATTAATCAAGTGACTGAAAACACCTTCTCCTTGGCTAAAGCCGATATTCATGCACTTTTTTGCAATAACATTCTTTCTTGAAGCTATAAATTCCTGTGAAAGACATTTAATCATTCTAAACTTACTTTCTAAGAACAAAATGAAGCAAATAATCAATAAATTCTGCTCCAGTCCTCAGAAGCTCTTCTTGAATTGCAGTTTTTCTCAATTTCCCTAGTCTCTGAAAGTTGGGAACTGCTTTGAAAAGTTAAAAACATTAATTTTCAGTCTTCATAGTTTTCAGAGGCAGAAATCATCCGAAACTGTCCACTTTCAGAGTCTTTGTCCTTGGAAACTATAAGTTCCAATAAAACTCTTTCAAGCCCCTAAATTACTTAAAATGCACAGAAATATTTTCTAGTGTTCCAAATTTCGTTTCCGAATCAAATTTTGATTATTAGCTTTTTTTTGTGAAGAGTTTGAGTGTGTCTGTCAATAATAATTTTTTCTTTTCCTTAAATATTTTGGTAGGACTTGTGTATGATATTTTGTCTGGATGAATATTTGTATTAGTTTATACAGGGTGTCCCCATTCAACTGGTCAAAAATGCTAGGGTAGATAGACAAACCATAGAGAAGTAGTTTAAAATAGGACACCGATGGTCGGAAGTGCGTCGTTTCCAAAATACAGGGTGTTGAAATTTTAGAAAAAATCGAATTTTTCCCTCTGTATTAAAAACGCTTTTAGCGATTTTAATGACATTTTCATGATTTAAATGATATCAAATCAAATCAAATTATGCTTTATTGTCTCAACCAAATTGTTATTGACAAAGCAGCCTTATTAACTAACATCAGTACTTATACTATGTCATAATCATAACATGAGAAAAAATCTTTCAAATGCCTTAAGTACTACATTACAACAATACTGTTCCTATCACAATCTACCATTATTATTGTCGTCTTTAAAAAATAAAACAAAAATAAAAAAAGTAAAAAATAGACAACGGACTCAGAAGTTTGAACAATAAAACAAATTAACAACTATAACGCACACTACAAACAGAACAATCCAGAAAAAAAAAAAAAAAAAATCTAAAACCTGTCCGCCAGAAATTCATCAATTTCGTAATATGTCTTTTGGGCAAGCAGCGCCTTGACGCCTCTACGAAACTGTCGTTCAGTCTTTATTTGTTTAAGACCCGACGGCAAATGATTGAACAACTTGCAACTTCTGAAAATGATAGAGTCTCTTACCTGGCTGGACGTGGGTATAGGAAGGCAAACATCATTTTTCTGTCGAGTATTATGAGTTGTATGCGATATGAATATACTGCTTTTGTGTTTCCTGTGAATTAAGCAGACCGATTCCAACACAAATAACGCAGGGAGAGTCAAAATATTTTTAGAAATGAATAGCGGCCTGCAAGAATCGCGTGGGTTGGCTCCACATAAATATCTAATTGCTCTCTTCTGCAGCAAAAAAATGCCATTAAATAACTGCTTAGGGCATAGGTGGTGATGCAACTTTTTAAGGAATTGCAGTTAATTTGTTTTGTCTAGGGATGGACTTGCAGCACATGTGTGTTAAATGTTTTGAAAAAAAAAATGGCATGCCCCATGTGCTGCAAGTCCGCCCTTGGAAAAATCAAATCAACTGCAATTCCTTGAAAAGTTGTATCACCGCCTATCATTCAAATCCTGAAAATTTCATTAAAATCGCTAAAAGCGTTTTTCATATAGAATATCTATCTAAGGTAAATGCACCTGTGATTGACAGTGTTCCAGTAATTGACACTTCAAGGTAAATGTTATCAAAACAAGCTAACTCAACGTCCCAGAGCCATTCTCAATAAAAAAATTTCATTAATATGATATTTGGCAACACTCTACCAGCTATGAAAGAAATTAGCTGATATTTGCCAGTTATTTTAAAATGTAAAAGGGCTAGTTACCTGTCCTATGAGAAAAATTAAAAGATTTGTTAAGGAAAACAAATCAAATATTCTTTTTTATTCCTAAATGGATCAATGTTTAATTTATTCCATATGTTTGAGGGCAGAGTATGAGTGCGTAGTTTTTTAATGTGTATTTATTAATAAAACACGTTATCAGGGTCCTTATTCTTGAAACAGGGGAGCAGCGTTCCCAGGAGAATGAGTATTCCGTCTTTTTCAGTGATATGCGAATGATAATATAAGTAACAAAGACGAAACACTGGTTCTCTTGGGAACGCTGCTCCCCTGTTTCCAGAATAAGGACCCTGAGATTGGTGTGGGTGTCAAAGACTGGATCAAGTGATTATGACCATGTACCAGTTATTGACTGATGTGTCAATGAATGGATCTCGTAACAAATTTAACGCAATCATAGCAAAACATTTCAATATTTGGCAGGATGCTCACATCGTACTGTGCTCACATCTTAATATGAGTTTCAAAAAATCACTTATTTCAGTTATTGAGATGGATGTCAGTTATTGGTACACAGGGTGTCAATTACTGGAATTTCTGAGGGAATTTCATTTATTACTGATACGACATCAGAAAAAAGTACTCCCAAGAGCAGATGAATGAAGTTCTAGTAGTTGTGGCTTATTATTACACATTTTATAAACTCATGTACTAAGAAAAAAAAAATGTTTTTGTGTCAATAACTGGGGTGTCAATAATTGGATAACAGGTGTCAATTACTGGGTCCCCAAAGATACATTTAAATTCCATAAGAGAGTCTAATTGTGTCAATTATTGGTGCTTTTACCTTGTCTATCTATCATACAGAGGGAAAAATTCGTTTTTTTTTTTTGTAAAATTTCTGTATTTTGGATACGACGCATTTCCGATCCGACAATCGTTTTCCTATCTTAAACTACTTCTCTATTGTTCCTCTATATACCCTAGCATTTTTGACCAGTTGAACGGGGACACCCTGTATAGAAATGTCCATCAACAATCCATCCATCAAAAATTGTTTTCCAACCCTGCAAAATTAGGCCTAAACATTAATTAATAATGCAGAAAAGAAACAAAATTGTCCATTGTGGCAAAATGGACTTAAGGTTATTAACATAAATTACTTGTTTTGATAGTTTGATGTCTCTTTTAAGTTCAGCCTCGGTTTGGCTGAGAGTTTGGCTCACAACACCCTGTATATAATAATTGTTTTCATAGGAAGCAAAAATAAATAATAATATTAATAATAACAGAGCTTTATTTATACCTACTGCACAAATAACAGATTTTACATCCTTAAAAAAAGTACAGTTTTGGAAACCCTCAAGCACACAATTACGCATTACAAATAATGCCATTCTGACGTTATTACTTGAGCTAGAATTCTCAAATTTGGAATAGTTGTTCTTCAGGATAATGGCTAGAACCTAACGGAGCCAGATTTTTAAATTTCAGTCTAGACAAAAAAACTAAGAAAAAAAATGGGTTTTTTTATATATTCTTTAAATGATCTTCTGTTAATATGACAAACAATTTTATTTGCATTGCCTGC